TCCTACCTGTCCCCTCAGTGAAAGAGCCCACACTGTGACCGGTATTCTACATATTATGGATGCGATTTGCAAACAAACAATGTTAAAGATATAAGGAGCAAGAGCAGAACAGATCTCAAGACACAGAGCCACAGCAAGACATGCAGAACATTTCAATGGGTGGGATGCAGCATTGTCATTTAATACTGCATCATGTCCACTACAAAATCATGTCAATATAAATGTAACCACAGCCCTATGAACCCCTGAATTTGTATCCAAAATGCTCACAGAAATCAATAATAACTTCCACTGCATCGTCCTGCCAGAGGAAGAAGAAAGAAAAGGAGAACTCTCTTAGCTACTGAGATGATCAGTCGAATATTATCAGATGACCGGGTTTGACAAAATATGCTAAGTTATATGTAGCTGAATTTGTAGTATGTTACAGAGTGTGTGCATGGTAGATTCATATTAGATTATAATCCTGTGTGAAGAGGGCTTGAGAAGTCAAGCATATGTTAAACCTTTAATATCTATAAAGGGCCACTTGAACTTACCATCTCAATAAATGTGACTGTTGAATATAACATCAATCCATTATCAAAGCCTTGTGACTAAACCACATAGGGTTGGTAATGTATTGTTCTTTAACTTTAAATGTTTAACATCCTCTTAAATTCAACGTATATGTGACGTCTTAAACCCTCCTGGGAGACAAAGAATCATTGATCTTGGATTATTTCAAAACCGAGTCAGCAACAAGACTTTCTCCACTTTGACAAAGCTGTATCTCATCTAATTAGTAGCTCTGCAGAGAAGCACTTCTGGAGGACAGTAATGTCAAAAACTGTAATATAAATACGACGGTGTTCTCCCCCGTCTCCCTCCCTCAGTGTTTCTCCTTCTTTCCTCTCTCATGGCCATCTGTTGTGCTGACTGCTGTGTGGGTTGATGCTGGTGGAGGTAACATTATCCTCGACTACAGCGGCTGACTGTGACCTCTGTGGCCTCACGTGGACTGACAGAAGGTAAACACCTGGTCTGGGCGGAAATGAAGTGGAGTTCACTTCAGATTCTCATTCAAGAAAACAGCCCTGTGGCGTCCGAGAGCAACTCCTGATTTTTACCCCCAAAACACAACATTTAACAGAAGACAATGTGGCTGTAGCTAACATCTATCCATCAGATGTTCTAGCACATGTCAGTCAAAGTATCGTTTTTAAATCCTTCAGTCTTTGGGATTAAAACATGTTTCCAAACATTGGATATATTCTTACAAGTCTGTTGCCTTTATACCGGTGACAGATTCTGGAACATGTACTCATCTACTGTTCATTATTTCCAAAGATGAAGAAATGCTGCAGCCGAATGCACTGCCCACTGTGATTTAATGAAAAGAGGAAGGAAATGTTCGCCATGGCAGTGAGCATGAGAGTACTGAGAGGCTTGGTCATCTGAGGACATCGTGTACTGTAGCTCGAAAGGATGTTCCTGAGGTTTGTCTCTGTGTTCCAAGATGATGATTGGCTCGTGGTGATGAGCAATCTTTGAATTCATATCTTACCGCTTTATTTCATCACATCACACTTTTATGCTAATGATTTTGTGTTTTTATCTCTTATCGATCTTTCAAAACACTTGAAACACTCTTTATTTTAAGTTGAACTGATGGATTGTGAGGAAACATTCTGTGTAATGTTTCCCATTGAGAGTCTTATATACTATACATGGACATGCTTACTGAAATGAATGCACCTGCATACCACCGAGGTGATCAGCATCCACTGAAATGCAAATCGATCCAACATTGGTAGGGCTGTGCAATTACTCGAATTTCAATTACAATTTTGGCGATTATGAAAACAAGATAACGGACATATTCTACATTCCATTTCGCAACTATGCTCCCGTTTTGTCTTGTGTTATAAATCCAGCGCACCCCCTTTCCTCTACAGCGGTGAACTTTCGTCCATTAATGCATTTAACTTTAGAACATAGGGTACAAAATGTTCCTTCCGAGTCTCCAAAAGTCAATAAGTGACTTTGCCGTAATCTAGCACACCTAATGTTTGACCAATTATTCGAATGGTTAGTGGCTTCTCTAACAAAAGCTACACAGTCACAGATGCACACAGATCCTTCATAAAACATGCCGGGAGGCGAGCATCCCCATGAGGGTGCATGAGCAACAAGTCACCAGCAATACTTTGTGCTGTAATGAAGGGGGAAACACTTTATTACTGGACCCATTAATCAGACAACAAAAGACAGAGGCAAGTTAAAAGACTATAAAACAGACATTTAGAAACATTCAAAACCAACCATCATCACTATCAATTACCCATTCTGGTCAAATTATGGTAAAATAAACGTAAACCACGCATGAGCTGTTTCTTGTACTAACAGCAAGTCCTGAACAGCCAAACCATCACATCAGTAGAGCGCGAGGAATGTATGTACGATGTGCTGCCCTCGATGCCCTGAGAATGAAATTTACAACAATGTTGATATAAATCTCTGTCATGCTCAGAGTTTTCTATCAAATGATGACCAACATATTTGACCCGACTGCTTACTTTTCAGAAAAATCCAATTGTAAGTAAAACTGGGAACATACAATTATTTTTACAACTAACGATCATTAAATTACTTTTACCATATTGGAAGCATATCTTAACCGGCTGTTGTAAGCCAGAACTGCAGGAAGAAAATATATCCACTTAACATCTAACATAAAATGATCAATTATGAGATTGACAGGCAAACAATACAGCAGTCAGCAGTAATTTACCTTCTTATGAAATACAGGTTTTTCATGACTTCTTGAATTACAAGCCTCTGAGAAGCATGCGAACATCTCTCCTTCATACAGAGTTCTGTTACACTATTTCCTCTCTTTCCTTCTTATCTACATCATCAGTCTTTCTTTCTAATCTTCCACTCATGAAGCTTGGCGAAAGTTCAGACTCTTTTTACGCTCTCATTCATTCACAAATCTCTCCATCTCTCGTTCTCCAGCTTCTTCTCCATCAGCTGACTCTGGGCATTCACGCTTATACAAACCAACCAGATTTGGCCACAATCCCTAAGCCTATCATATTGTTTCTGTCAAACTTAAAATAAAAATAAAAAAACTCTTCTCCTCTCTGCTGCCAGTTGTCGTTTTAGTAAAAACAATTCACCTTCAGTCTTCATCATATCCAGTGCCCAAGGTTACTTCCACCGAGTTCATCAGACGTCCCACTCCACATCCAATCATCCAGATCTTCAGCAACTTTCTTCATCTCTCTACCACCACCACCAATGTCTAGACTACATTGGGGGGGACTATTCCTGATCTAACCTCGGCATCACTAAGTATGACAACGTCACGATGGGTCTAATCGCCAAAGACTCTCCACAATTCTAATTTTGTTGTGCACCATGTAATACATTTATTTGTTCACTCTAAATTAAGCCTCTCCTGACTGAAATTCAGTCTTTTAGTGTCACTGTCTTACTGCCGCTTAATTCAAAACAAAACCGTGAGTAGTATTTGGTGGAAGAGTTAAAACGCACAGGGCCTTCCAGATGCAACCTCTCTCTTGCCGCTTCAGTTCAGTGAAAAGCTGTCTAATGACTAAGACTGCAGTCTCTGCTGTATCACGACCTGGACAGTGAGTCAGCACCCCGACCTTGCTCCTCTCCACACACACACACAAACACAGACAAAGATTTAGCATATGATGCAGACAAACATTCATATTCCTGACACAAACAGCCCCCCCCCTTTCCCTCCAACCTCTATCTCTACCTCTCTCACACACTGACGAACACTGGTAGCGCTGCGTCGTGACTGGGGGCGATGTGTTCCTCTTAATATGCACAGACGACTGTCTGAGGATCACAATGGCATGCTGGCACATCTACAGTAGACCAAGATCCTCCCCTCTACTTCAGCAGTACAGAGTGTGTACTGTATTTGTGCAAGTGTGTGACACAGTGAGAGACAGCATCCACTCCATGCAGTAAGGAGCACTCGGTCATCCAACATGTTGTCCCGTTGTGCCATAGTGATAGCCTACATTACCCAGAAGCCTGCTGTCTGTTATGCATCAAGTCACTTCCTGTTCAACAGTTTGTGTTACACATTCCTAGACGCCATCACATAGTCAGGGGGATGATGCTCATTGGCCTAAAAGTCTGGAAACCCCCTTTGTTCTATCCCTGAGGCTCTTCTACGACAACACACATTGTGGTTTTGGGGGCAATGTCAGTATGTTAAAAGGAAAACACAAAGTCCTACAGTGCCTTTCAGTCATCACAGACCTACTGTATATCACTTTTTGACCGTCAAGTGGTTCGGTTTGACCCCGCTACCAATGACTTTTCACCTGTTGCAGCAACCCCTCGCTGAACATAAGTCACGGATGTCTGAGAACAGGGAAGTAAACTATCTTTGCTTCATGCTCTTCAGCTATGGCAATGTTGTTTTACAATTTCCCTTGAATTTGGTTGTAAACAGGATGTGTCATCAGTGCCCACTTCAACCCGATGTCATATGACTTAAAACATAACTGTTCAATAATACCTCAGACAGACAGAACTAACTGGTTTCACAGACTAGTACACAAACAGAACAGCAGTGTTACTACGGGCCTGGTAGATGTTATTAACTACACACACACACACTTGTGCATACAAATACATGCACATACCCATGCTCACACTCTTTTCAGACACAACCTGCTTGAAGCACATAGAGGCTTAGCAAATAAACAGCCAGCCAAGCTTATAATAAAGACACACATCCCTGTGGGGGAAACACACACACACAAGTGTGTACTCGTATACTAGATAATCAGACAGTCATGTCATCACACACACACACACACTCAATCGCAAACACTCCCATCCTTCCACCGGCACATGTGGACAGGCACGGCCAGGCCCTCAGTCTAGACGAGAGACAGAGTAAAGGAGGAGAGGAAAGAGGTAGAGAGGTAGAGAGGAGGGGAGTAGAGGAAGAGAGGTACTGGATGTACTTACCCCGTTTCTGGAGCCATCCCTCTCTAACGATGGTGACATCGCTCATGGTTCCTTCACGCCGAGTCTGATGCCGCTACACGCCTGCTCCACAGAGAGAGAGAGGGAGGGAGGGAGGAGGGGAGGAGAGGAGGAGAAGAGAGAAAGAGAGGGAGAGGAGGAGAGGAGGAGGGGGGAGAGGCTCTCCCAGCCTCCGCGTCACTCTCCCTCCCTTCCTTCCTTTCCCGTTCAACCTCTCGTTCGCGCAGTCTCCCTCTCACACACACACACACAAACACAGTGTGTGTGTCTGTATGTGTCGTTTCTTTCCTGTTGTGGCTTATCTCTCTGTCTCCCTCCCTTCTTCTTCTTCTTCTTCTTCTTCTTCTCCCCCTCCTTCTCCACCTCCTCCTCCTCCTCTGTCGTTCCCTCTCCAGACCTTCCTCCTCACCAGCAGTGACTCAGCCTGAAAGGAAGTGAAAGGAGGAAAAAAAAAAGAAAGATAAAGAAAAAAGAAGGCATGGATTTATTTATCTCCTCCTTTACTGCTCCCTCTCTCCCCTCTCCCCCTCCAAAGACATTTCATACAATCTGACAAGATTGTATGAAACTAGTTATTGTGAGGACAAATGCTCCACACCACCCAATCATACACCCATGTTCCTCTTTCTATCACTCAACCTCTCTCTGATAAACAGGATGAATAATTGCAGAGCTCTCGATGAAGCAATAACTGACCTTGATTGCCAAACAAATACCCCCTGAGTTCTGCTTCTCCCCCATTCATAGATCTTTCATGAGCAAGTTGCGCTGTTTGCAAAAACCCAGTCTACCTTTCTGTGCTTGCTGTATTTCTGCATGTCAAATGATTTTTGTGTGTAGGCTGGTTTTGTCTATATGTGGGAGGTGAGAGAGCATCTCAGGACTGTGGAGTAGGGCTTGGCTATAAATAGCAACAACAGCAGTGAGGGATGCTCTCACACTCTCTTTCTCTCTGCCCAAATCTCTGCACCTCTCTGTCGTCTCCCTCCCGCTCTCCCCCCTCTCTCTCTCTCTCTGCAGAGCTGCCGTGTTCACCTCAAATGCACCCTACTACACTGTATTACACAACGCGCAACAACACTACGCCGCTCCGCTTGAATGGAAAATCAGCACTACGGCGGCTAGGCTAGCAGTCGCAGCCATCTAGCTGGTAATCAGTATTCTAATCAGCTGGTGTTTGCGCTGCTGCAGACACTCGGAATGACTGCAGCGTCATAACCCTAGTAGGTGAGACAGAGCTTTTTTTTATGTCGAGGCAGCAGTATAGTGACAAATCTGAAACCAAACGAGCAAATGCAGACTAGTTCAACATTTCTTGGTCACAAGGGCTGCTACAATGCTTTCACTTTGTGTACCCCTTTTACAATACGTGTCAATTTCCTTAAAATTTAATTTTTTCGTCCCTTTCATATGCTTGGCTGCCATGAGCTTGATTACTCAGTATTACTAAGAAGTACAAAGGATGGATTTCCCCCATCCCACCCCTAAGACAAAGTTTGGTGCGAACTGCCAATAAATTCTCACCAAAAACAATGTGATTTTAGTTGAAGACTATGACTATGGTAGAAATAACACCAAATCCAAATGACAACCAATTGTTATTACTTTGCTGCTTGCTTTTTAACTTACTGAGTAACTCTGGCTGCAATGACTGATTGTAAGATTAAGATTAGACTGTTTTGATAAGGCAGTATCAAAAAGTACAGCAATCTGCCATCAAATGTCTGATGTCTTTAATTTGCTTATTCAGAGTTCCTGATTTTTATCAAAATTAGACAATTTTTAGACAATTCTTGTTATACAGCTGCTTGGTTTAAGAGTTGAAAACGTTTTTCTTAAATAAAAAAAGAAAGCGTGTTATAGAAACCATGTTTATACTTGTCAAACTATGGCTTAAGTATTGCTGGTCCATTCTGAAACTCCCAAAAAGATGTGGGAGAAAATTCCGAATGATTCCCAGCCCTAGTAATCACATCCAAGGGGATCGAATCCTTTTTATAGGTATACTGTACTGTTCTGTTCTAGATTAACCTTTAAATCTACAGTGTAATTCAATGAAGCTTTGGTTAGCTTTAACCTTAATCTGGACAACATGTTGAGAGGCAAGAGGAGACAAAAAGGGACACATGAGGAAAAAGAGAGGAGACAAAATGTCCAGACAGTGGCAACCCCTTTGTCACCAGGGCAGCTGTTTCTATGGAGATATGCACTGCCATGATGAACCAGCCATGCCGGGGGAAGCTCCGGCCAGACAACATTTATCTCATGAGGTTTCATTCCAGAGGCAACAACAAGAAAAGAAGACAGTGGAGAAAGGAGTTAGTGAGAAAAGAAACTATCTAAACACAGCTCTGACACATATCAACCGTTTGCCGTTTACATTTACAAGCTGTTGTTACACTGCTACACAGCTGTTATAGTGCGAAAAAAAGAGCAAAACGTTGAGTAATGGCTGAAACTATAAAGGTCTTTTCCTCATCTTAAAACACGACACCGGACATTTGCAAGCTTGACACCTCAACAGATTCTTCAAGGTGAGGTTGCTAAATGTTTTGATTATTTCCTCTGTGCCTAAGAACAATTAAACACATCAATAACTTTTCAAAACAAATACCTGCCGAGAACTGCATTACTGCTTAATATACTTAGACAAACAATAAATAGAGCAAATTACTGAAACTTAGGTGGTAGAGAATCACTCAAACTCTAAACCTATGATTTTAAATGGCTGAACACACTGTATAAAATGCGCTAAAACACGCAGAATTATTGGTGTGGCTCTTTCATACAACGTGTGTACAGAGAGGAGAACTCTACAATATAATATTAATACGTTCCTGTTTCTACCACCTTCCTGTCACCTCACCATAAACTGTGGCCTCATACAAACCCTGGCTGACATCAGCAGCAGTGAGCCAACCATCTTCTTCCTAAAATGAAAGCCATGATTTTGGCAGGACTTCAAGTGTTACACTGCTAACACAGGATGCGTTTTGTCTATCTAATGCACGTCTGACGAAGAAAATGACTTCTATTTTAAATCCATATAGCTGACCACACGAGCTGCCTGAGAGCTTGAGTTTCACAAGCACTTTACACACTTGTGATTCAAGTCTATTTTCTTCCATTTCATGCATGCAATTACAGGAATTGTGTATTGGACTGTGAGCATGGCCAAAATGGAGTTGCTGAATGTAACCCGTGTACGCTGATGGAGGACAGAAGTTGCTGCTGACATGCTGCTTTCATTAAGTAGAGCTGAAACTATTTGTTGACCAAGTAATGATTCAACTATTTTGCACTTTTTATGCAAAGACACCAAGTATAGTGGTACCAGTGTTTTTTGCATTTGAGTATTTTCTGTTTTATAGCAATGTAATTTGAACATCTTTGGGGTTTGAACTGTTGGCCGGACGAAACAAAACATTTGAAATCTGTCAACTTCCAATTTACACAATTTTCTGACATTTTATAGACGAATCAATTCATTGACAATATAATGTATAGATTAAGTGATGATGTAAACAATTGTTAAACGCAGCACAATGTAAGAGAAAGTGTATCTCAGTCATGTAGTACGTATCCTCCATTTTCAAAGGGTTGCGGAATTATCTGATCAAAGACCAAGTACACAAGATTACAAAACTGACCAAATATTCAATGCCAACAGTTTCAAATACTTAGTGGTATAAACACATGTCAGTCACACTCAGTACCAGAAAAAGTACCCTAATCATGGGTCCAGGCATTGATGCAGCAGCATTATAAACACTATCCTCCATCATTATCATCAAATACATATGTGCCATGAGTGTGACATACCCTATTAATCACACATGTGGCCACTAAGACCATGAATGAGTGGCACCAGCACTGCGTCATATAATTACGTCACGGTGCTAGGACGGCTGTCAAACTGAGGTATGTTGCATGCAGCATGGCAGAAAACGGCACGGATGTTATTTAAAATGAAAATAATCTGTCAAAAAGACACAACAGCTACAGCTTTAGCGGAGTCTATATTATTTTCTCAGTGTTACCTGTAGCGGCACAGGTGCGGTGGTCTTCCTGCGTGCACCTGCTGTTCATAACCGTCGCAGTTAACGCTAGAACGGTACTCGTCATACGGATTTCCGAAGGAGCGAAGTCAAAACAACCGTTAACGCAGGAAAACTATAGTGACGTCACCCGGAGAAACGGCAAAACCCCCTTTTTCTCTCTCGTGCACAGGTGCACGCATACACACACATCATTACCGTCTCGCCTTGTCCTCCCGTTTTCGGTGTAAACGGTGTCAGCTCGGCGTGTGTGCGTCTCCTCTCTCATCATCCCATTCCAACATCCCGTGTGTGTCTCTGCCGGCTAATAAGCCAACCATCGCGAGAATCAGCCGGCGTACTGGTTCTGGTCCAAGTATAGGAAGTAATAGGCTACTTTTCTTTTTTTTTTTACTTAATTACAATTATTTGACAGCTTTAGTTACTTTACAAATGAAAATGCTTGTGGTGGAAGAAGTACTTAGATCTTGTATTTAAGTAAAAGTATCAATATCACAGTGTAGAAATACTGTTACAGGTAAAATTTCTGCTATATAAATAGTAAAATAAATGTACCTAACAAAAGTAAAGTAAAAGCACTCATGCAGAATGGTAACATTTCACAATTATTATTGTCATGATACCGTATTATAAGTATTGATGCATTAATGTGTTTATCATTTTAATGTTGCAGCTTGTAAAGGTGAGTTGCTAATCTCATTTTGGGTTATATTTCGTATTAATAATCGAAATGTGTAAAGTAACTACTAATTAAAGTTATCAAACAAATGTAATGGATTAAAATGAACACTATTTGCTTCTGAAATGTAGTGGAGTAGAAAGCCTATAAAGTGGCATAAAATAGATATACTCAACTTAAGTACAAGTTCCTGAAAAATTGTACTTAACACCCTTTCAGTAAATGTACTTGGTTACTTTCCACCACTGCATGCAAATCATATGAAGAGCTTATAATAAAAGGTGATATTTCGTTACAAATTAAACAACCCAACAGTACTTTAATAGAAAAGCTTTAATAGAAAAGCTTTAATAGTGTGCCAGTGAGCAAGCAGGCAGGACCCTGAAACCAAGCAAGTATCTGGAATTCAACCATTGTTGATTTTAGTATTTACACTTGCAATTTCCTACTGTGACATGCCCAAATGTCTTCTGGGAAACAATGTCATGAAAATAATGAAAATCCATATTCATATTGATTTTAACCTTCTAAGGTGAAAAAGCTTTTATCTCTGATTCCCCACAAACATAGACAAGTGCCAATTAAAGGTCAGATGTGTTCTATAAGCCTATAAGTCTTTCAAATCCAGCTCGTCCAGCTTGTCACACAGGCTTTCTGTTAAAAATAGAAATCTAAGGTAACTCTTGTGAGATATCAGGGTTACAGTATAACTGTTTTTAAACAGTTGGAATTCCCCTTTAAAAGAGACCATGCGTCTATATACAGTAAAGCGCTCACCTAATCCGAAACTAAATTAATTTCAGTGCATGGATTTCTGGCTGATGAGTCATTTATTAATTGGTTAATGATTTGTGATGCTGCACTCTGACAATTTTTTATATTTTATCTCTATCTGAAGCAGTAAGTAAATTGAACTGTGCGATAAGCATTATGTGTGATAAGGATTTATATTTTTTAGTCTATTATTTACAGAAACATAGTGAGCAACTGAGCAGACAGTTAGCTGTAAGTCAGTAGGGTCAGTAATCCCTGCGGCCTCTTAACATTAGTACATTGCATTATCTTAAATGTTGTTTACAGCCGGAAGGATCAGACAGCTGCATAGCACATGGCTAAAATCTGTACTGAACAGCTGATCTCTCCAGTGTAAACCAAAATGTTCAGAGTACATTTAAGGATCAAGTTGTTGATACAATGCATTTTCTTTAAATTCCTGTGCAGGTCGTTTCAAGCCAGCGCCGTCAGCTGTCCTATTACAGGGCTTTAACATTGTTAGGTGTGATGGTGAGTTTGGGCATCCTTGCACAGGTCTAGTCAATCAAAAGCCTCCGAAATTAAGATTGGATTATTTTCTCTCTATCTCATTTCATATATAAAAGCACGAATGTGATTACGTAATATGCAAACATTTTAACTTAAAAATGAAATATTGACGTTCTGGCACTACAACGCCCTCCCTCATCCTACTCTCTCTTCTTTTTCTCCTCCCTCCCCCTGTTTGCCCCCCCCCCCCCCACCCCCCCACATGGTGTGGAGTGTGGAGCTGTGCTGCAGTGGCAGAGGGTGTCGATTTTTGGCAATGGCAGGGCACAGAGCGCAGACACAGGTGGACCTAGCGTGTCAGATGATATATGTGTGTACTGTTCTCACTCTTTTTTTAACACGCATACACATACTACCATCAGCTGGCCTTTTGCTCACAGCCCTGTGTGCAGAGGGGGAGTATGGGCAAAAACCAGCAGCCAGGGAAGGTGTGTGTGTGTGTGTGTGTGTGTGTGTGTGTGTGTGTGTGTGTGTGTGTGTGTGTGTGCAGTGGAGGTGGGGGTAACGAGACAGCTTGAAAAGGAAAAAAGACAACACAAGGGAGCCCTTCTGTTGCCATTGCTGTGGCCAGACGTGTCCCACACACACAAACAAACAACTTAGAGTCAGGCATCAACTTGGACACACATGTAAAATGTACGTCCTGCACTGTCAAATTATGATTTGAAGGTTTGAAGCATACGCACAAGGATAAAGTGAAGAACTTGGTGGGCCTGTACTGTACTATAAAAGGAAAAGGAAAAAGTACCTTCCACAACAATTGTTTTTTTTTAAAACCTATAGAAGATGTGGAGAGCTTGTTTTTCTCTGCATGGACTGTAATGTAGTAAAATTATCACATATATCAATATCAATATAGCATACAGATGCATATTTCATAGGGTGTGTACTATTTGAACCAATATATAAATAAAAATGGTTGGGTTTATTGGCCCTGATGTTACTCTCTACATGACCTCCATTCAAAGGGACTTGGATAAACAGTGATCTTATAATAAGTGCACTTGTCTATTTTCTAGGTTCCCTCGAGGCATCATTATGAACCATCTTTGCAGTGGAAGAGTGAGTCTGTCCAGTCAGTCAGATCAGCTGTAGAAGAATAACATTTTGAGGTGGGATCCTCTAGGTATGTTTTGCTCATCAGTGCGTGATCTCACTCACAAGTGCACCACATGGTGTATGTTTGTGAACTTCTGGCATGTTAGGTTTCCATGTGTGTGTATACAGTGTGTGTGTGTGTGTGTGTGTGTGTGTGTGTGTGTGTGTGTGTAAGAGAGAGAGGTAAGCAAGTACATAATAGATGATGTGAAATGTGTGGCAGAGTGCATGTAAAAATAGCATAAATCAAGTAAAAATAAGAATGGGAGGGTACATTCTCAAAACAACAGAGGTTGTACTTATGGGCACAGTGGTGCTTTAAGCATGAAGGTTAATGTCAAGATGCTGATGCTACTATCTTAGTTTAGCAAGCAAATATTTGCTCATTAGCAACAAACACAAAGCATGGCTGAGGATGATGGGAATGTCATTTGTTTTTCAGGAATTTAGTCATAAAGCAAAACTTGCCCTGATGATGGCACTAGATTAAAAAAAGTTCCTGGAATTCACCCTGAGGGGGTCATAAATATGTGTCCCAAATTTCAATATTTGCTGAGGTTTCCCAAAAAACTTTAAATGTCAAACATCTGTAGAAAATTTGGGGCCAATCCCCGGAGTAAATATTTCACAGGCTAAATGAAAACTTTGTCCTGTGGGTATCGCGAGAGGAAAAGTCAAGGAATCACCAAAGTCATTAGAATTCATCCTCTGGGCACCATGAATGTTTGTACTAAATGTCATGCCAATCCATCAAATAGTTGTTGGGATTAGTTTGGATCAAAGGTGGACCGACCGACTGAGAATACCATCCCGAGAGTTTATGCCGCTATCACAACAGGAACAAGACTAACAGTGTAATGTAAGACAAATACTAAAACATCACAAAATATATATGTATTTGACTACAGAGTCCATACTCCCATCTGACTCCCAGTGGGTGAGATGGTGCGCTGCCGAGTGAATCACACACACACACACACACACACGCACACACACACACACACACACACACACACACACACACACACGCACACCCTTGACACTCCGAGGTGACACCAGAGCACAGAAGGTCTGTCCAGGTTGAACGGAAAACACACACACACACACACACACACACACACACACACACACGCAAAGCTAAACTTCCAGCTTTTGACTATGACAACATCCCTACCCCCATGCCTCCTGTCTCTGCCCTCCTGCCACACACATACCATCCCCCCCAATGTTTGCGACTCCCTTCACCTCCTGCAACACACCCAACCCCGCTCCATGCCTTCAACCCCCTACCTTCACTCCAGCCCCAGCTCCCAAAGCCCAGGGAAGCAGCAGCCGTGCTGGACGGCCCGGCACCCCGTACCCCTTCAGCCCGTCCCCGGTCTCTTTGAAGTGGCTTCAGGACAGAGGGGTCAGCCTCGCCCCGGAGACCCGCATAGAGGTAAGGACAGCTGCGGCCAGACAGACCCTGTGCAGGGGATACGTATACGCACAAGAACAGGCACACATGCACACACGAGACAGGACAGAGCAGCTGCAGCCACGGTGTCGAAGGTGTGCTGTACAGCAGGACAGCTTGGGAGCCAGTATGGTCCAGCACGGCTCTGCTCTGTTCTGGGTCACCTATTTTGCACCCAAGTGTGAAATCTAGTCAGTGGAGTACCAGATGACCAGATAAAATGTATATATGTATATATGTAGATATATATATATATATATATATATCTTTAACGCAGCCTCCAACCTATAAACTATAAAAAAAAGTTGCTGTTTTATGTTATTGTTGTTTCAGAGCGTAGAATAAATCTCTCTTTGATTCATTTTACCTTACAAACTGAATATTTCGCTGTCATGCAATCACATGATAGTGAAGCTAGATTATGTAAAATCTGAATGATTTAATTGACTGAAACCATCACCACTTACATCACCGTTACACTGAAACTTTATCCCGATAATAATTACAAATTCTTGCTCATATTTCGTTACTATGGCAAAATTTTCAGACGATCTACCACTCTAACATCTCAGTTAGAGTGGCCCCAATTTACGATGCTGTAAAGTGCAGCGGCTGGACAAAATACAAGCACAGCATAGTGCAATCTGTGTCAACGAATTGAACATTACAGCTACACTACACTTCAATAGTAGTGTGAAAGGGTATCATTTACTACAGGCTATTGTGTTTGATGCACCACAATGTAAATTTTCCCCTGTTGTTCCCCATTATATGATAATAGCTTAGACATAAATATATCACTGTGGGGAAGAGAGAAGATGAGGTTAGTTTTGTGAATTAGACCTTGACGCATTGGTTTTAAAGTGAACTTGCAGTTTGTCTGTGCAT